GAAAGTATGAATGACCTTCCGACAATCTTTTTTTTTAAATGAAACTTGGGATAAAAACTCATAGTTATCTGCTTAGAAAAGATGCTTGGGAAGAGCTTCCCAAAACCACAGATAGGGCTTTTATATCATCAAGTGCTCTATTTTAGAAATTACTAATTAAATGCTTTTTGTCCTATATGCCAAGCGAATTTTGTCTAAATTTAAAACTTTTTTACTAGAATGTGGATTATAGATTATCCATCATCAAATAAAGAAATACAGGTAAGTTTTCAGTTGTATACTGAATGTTATGTCTGGTCTCCCATGTTTTTTTTAAGAACCCAATTAAAGTATCTTCTGTTTGAAATGTTTGAAATCTAAACTAGATCTGAAGTAAAGTCTATCTTAGATCATCACTGTTCAGATGAAAGGTTCTTGGTCAGAGTCTGACACTTACTTCAAAGTATCTGACTTCTAAATCCATATGATGATGATTTTGGTAAAAACAGGAAAAATGCACATAAACACATGCATGCTGAGAAAATAAGCAATTTAAAATTAAAATAAACAGCAGCTACTTCTTATCATGCCAAAAAAAAGGGAAAACTACTGCCTCCATCTATGACAGATGCAAATAGCAAGGAAGAGCAAAAATGATGTTGGGTGTGATATCTAGGAATTATAACTAAGATTCCTGGTAAGAGAAAATCTGTGTAGCAGAGATGGTTTGTAGTCACATACTATTTTCCCTTTCTTCCTCAGTTAAAAAAAAAAAAAAAGAGAGAGAGAGAGAGAGAAAAGTAATAATAACAAAAGTGTTATTTTCCCAACTCCTTTCCAGCCAAGTTTGGCATGTGATTAAGTTCTGGTCCATGTCATGTCATCCGTGTGTTAAGTGAGACATGGAGTTGGGAGTGGGGGTGGGGGGGTGCCTTAAATGAGCTGGCTCAGGTTAGAAGTAGTTCCTGCTTTCATGTCTTCTCTCCACCTCTTTTTTTTTTTAATGAGAGAAAGAGAGAAATAAAATCATGCAAGAACGAGAGAAAGAGAGCAGTATTTTGACAGAGTGCCACATCCAGATCCTCCTGTCCAGCCTCCCAGTTAGCAAGACCACAGGTGCATCTCACCATGCCTGGCCTGCTTAGCTTGGACTGGGAGTGGAACCTGGGCCTCCTGTGCATCCTAGGACTGAGTTCCTAATAACTTTGTGGAGCTCCCATATTTACTCTGGATCAGCTACTCTGAACCACATGAGAGAATAAATTTGTGCGTTCTGTTTGTTTTGTTGTTATTGTTACATTCAACTCTGTCAAAAATCTAACTAAACCTTGCAAAAGGAAAAAAAATGTCATTTACAGGATCCATGATTTAGGCCTAAAAATCAAAGTATGATCCCTGGGAGAGAGCAATGTGCACATCACCGGGCTGGTTGTCAGAGATGCAGATCTCAGGCCCCACAGCAGACCTATGGAGTCAGAAACCACATTTTAACAAGTTCCCAGGTAATTAATAACCACAGTTTGAGAAGTTTGAGGAGCATTGACATAGAGCCAATTCTCTTTGAAAAATCAGACTCAACTCCATTGATTTGAATAGGCTACTGTTATACAGCTTGTATGCCCCCGCCAAAATCTATGTATTAGGAATTCATGGTATTATAAAGGTATTAAGTGAAAACTTAACCTCTGTCCCAAGTAGGGTCTTTGTGATAAGGTCCTTAGGGCGGGGCTCCTGTGATTGAGTTCTGGTGAGTTTATAAGCAGAGGAAGTGAGACCAGAACAAGAGAAATTCATGAATATAATCCATGCTCTACTCTGCTCAAAGTCTGACTCTGCCATTTTGTAATGCCTTTGGACTTCCCAGCAACCAGAATCATGAGTTTTGCAAATAGGCCTCTATTAATATTTTATAAATCGCCCAATCTCATGTATTGCTGTTAGCAACACAAAAATGGACTAAGACACCTGCTGAGCAATGTTCCTATGACCTAGAATATATCCTGGCAAAAAAATGACACTGAGAAATGTGACCTGGTTTTGAGAATAGATGTAAACATTGTTTTCAAATGAGAAGTTTCTTTTTTTCTTCTTCTTCTTCTTATTTTTGGAGAAGTTTTTGCTATAGGGCACATGTGCTCACCAGACAGGCAGAGAGCGACAGAGAGACAGAAAGCAAGAAATCACCCCCCAGGGTAGATGGCCGCGCCACAATCCCTTCTCCTCCATTCTCCTCTCGGGATCTTGGGCACACACGCACACGCGCCTGCTGTGAGTTTAAGCCACCAGGTCTGGGACTTAAATCGCGGTCGACTACGTGGGAGTCCAGCAACATAGCCATTACACTAACTGCTGATCCCTCAAATGAGAAGTTTCTTGACAGGTGCATAATGCAAAAAGAAAAACAAAGATAAAGGTTATGAAAGTTAAGACAAACAGATAGGCTTTTAAAAGATATAAATTAAAAAATAAAGTAAGTGCTTTGCATATGATAATCAAGCTGCCAAAATCCAGAAACAAGAACCATTACACCAAAGCTCTTTTATTCTCATTTTTAAAACTTATATAACGAAGTGCATCTTTTTATGAACCACTCATTCTGATAAGTCCAGTTATATTCCATTTGCCCAGCTGAAAATTCATTTACCTTTGCAACATTTAAAACTGAAAGTTGGGTCCGCAGTGGCATGACAGTTAAGGCTGGATCCCACATGGCTGATTGTGCCCTTCAAGTCTTAGACCTGGTGGCTTGAAAAACACACTGGATACATGTGCTTGGGTCCCCAAAATCCTGAGAGGGGACAGAAGAGAAGGGATTGTGGCATGAGCATCCCCCACAGGAGGTCACTCTCTCTCATCTTGTTCCAGTAAGTACATGTGCTCTCTAGCAATTTTTTTTTTTAAAGAAAAGTGAAAGTTATACTTTAAACATATAATTGAAGTTTGAAAATTTTCTCTTCCACTCCCTAAACAGACTCCCAATCAGGAAATGCAATTCTTTCAATGGACAGGCCATCTGAATCCGCTCATTTTAATTAATTTTCCAGAAATTTTCTACAGCAGTATTGTAAAAATATAATTTACATACAATAAAATGCTCAGATCTTCATTGTACTAATGGATGAGTTTGGCAATTGCAGGCAACCATGTAGATCCTCCCACCACCCCAGAAACTTCAAAGGGAACTTTTCAGTTGTTGCCCACCTCTACCTACCATGCCAACTACTCTGCCATATGTTTCTTCTTCTTTTTTATTTAAGTTCACTTATTTATTTATCCCATGACAGAGAGGGATGAAGACAGAGAAACAGGCACCTCCTATATGGTCTTTATGCCATAATCCATCCCCGGTTTCAGCTGACCCAGATCATGGATATGAGCATGCATACCAAGCATATTCAGGAAGGTCCCAGGACACAAATTCAGAATCTTTTCCATGTGCGTCCAGTTATGTTAACCGCTATACCACCACCTGACACAGTTGTTATTCCTACATAGCCAGAAAATGAAACTACACAATGTTACAACACAAAGCTGATAAAATAGTGTTACAGGGACCAGCAATTAGCGTAATGGCTATGTCGCTGGACTCCCATGTAGTCAACCACGTTTCGAGTTCCAGATCCGGTGGCTTAAAACTCATTGCCTGGTGCGTGTGCGTGCGTGCCCAAGATCCCTAGAAGAGAATGGAGGAGAAGGGATTGTGGCGGGGCCATCCCCCTGGGGGGCGGGGGTGATTTCTCGCTTTCTGTCTCTCTGTCTCTCTCTGTCTGTCTGGCGAGTGCACACGCCCTATAGCGAAACTAAAAAAAAAAAAAAAAAAAAGAAAATAGTGTTACAAACCATAAGGTTCCATGTTGTCTGCAGGTGCTTTAATCCTCTATCAAAAGCTGTCTGACATGTGACAGTGAAGAATGAAAACCACCTCAAGTTTGGTTCAGTTAGCAATCGAGTGTTGATACAGTTTTCCAAAACACTGGCTTATACTTCTGTGGATTCATAATCTATTTTCAAGCAGGTTTTCTGATGAAAGACACCAATTTCCAGTAGTTCTACCCTACCTTTTCTGATACTGAAGAGATCTAGAATGAGGAGTGATTTGCAATTGAAAATATAACTTTCACTTTTTTAAGAAAAAAATCTTTGACAATGTTCTTATTTGGAATTGAAGTTATATATAAAATAGCTAATTGGGGATCAGCAGTTAGTGTAATGGCTATGTCACTGGACTCCCATGTAGTTGACTATGGTTCAAGTCCCAGACCCAGTGCCTTAGACTCAAGCCTGGTGCATGTGTGTGCGTGCCCAAGATCCCGAGAGGAGAATGGAGGAGAAGGGATTGCGATGTGGCCATCCCCCCT